TTTTCATCCATTGCCCCCTCGTGCCCCCCTTCATTCCCGCCTTGTGTTTCATCCATTGCCCCCTCGTGCCCCTCTTCATTCCCCCTTGTGTTTGATCCATTGCCGCTTGTGCACTCCCCATGCCCCTCTTCCTCTTCCAGGATCACGTTGAACAACAATTTCTTTCAGGTCACTGTCAGTGCCTGACCTGCACTGTACAGTGCAGGGAGCACAATTTTCGCTTGTTGAATAAGCCAGGCAGTTGACTGGCACCCAAATTCGGCCACATTTACCACTTAAGCAGAAGCAGGGTTCCCAACAGAATCCACCGCTGAAATCCACCAAGTATAGTAGACACATGTGATACAATAGACCGACCTTGCATCTCACATCCTCCCCGCATAGGCAACGTCGTGCACGTGGTGGCCCTGGTGGCCGCAGTGCGCCGCCTCTCTCGGCAGCTGCTCTTCGCCGATCTGCTGCCCGCGGGTTCGCCCAAGGACGGCGAGCGGAGCGTGTGGCGCCTGGGTCGCAGGGACGGACCCAACGGCCCCAACGACGGCGACAGAGAATGTCCTGTCATGGTAAGGGATGGTCAAGTGCCCAACTCTGATCCAAGAATCCAATCCACTCTGCCTCCATCTTTCGTCTCCCCATCCATCGCCTCATCCCCTATATAGGTCTTCCATGGTCTTCCCTGTTTTGTGCCGGCCTCGCTTCCGCGTGGCGTTTGGCACGGCGTTCGGCGCAGCACGGCACGCCGAGGCTCTCGCCCGACGGCTCCGGGAAGCTGGTCCGGCTCCAGTTGCTGCTGGGCCGCTCCTTGGCCGAACGCCTCGGCGGCGACGGCCTGAGCGCGGTGGTGAAGCGCCTCCGCCCCATGCAGCCGCCCGGCGACGAGGGGACGGGTGATGGGACGGAGTAAGGATGGCACATGCTTCCAGGATCTTCCAGGGCTCTTTTGTTACTACGGTACCGACGTTTTGGGGGAAAGTTCACTGGGCACCAGGAGTGGTCAGATCGTCGAACATGCCACAATGACGAGGGGTTTGATTGGCAATGGGCACGATATTGCCCAGCACTCGTGTGCAATAGTGATAGCTATACATATAAGCCAACTCTGACCTGCCAACATGGAAGTGGAAAATGGTCCCTTGGAAGACGACGTTCTTACAATGAGGGGGCTTTCCACTTCCATGTCAGTGGGTCGGAGTGTATGCAACAGTAACATGGTCACCAAGTCACTCCAAAAAAACCCGGCCTACCTGCCAACGAGCCAATTTACCGTGGGAAAATGCTTTGCTGTGCTTGATTCAGGCTGGTCTATGTGGCCGGACGCTTGCAGTTAGAGGAGCCGGGGGAGCAGTGTGGCAAGGCCACTCCTGCAGCGCCCACGGAGGCACGGGTCGTGGTGCTGAAAGCAGGTGAAAGCAACCAAGGTTATGTTCTTGTCAGGACTCCGGGTTCAAATCCCAAGTGGGGGATATTTTCAAGAGTCAGGAGGGGGACACACACACACATGATGCATCATGATGCAACCTAGCGGACCTATCGTGAGCGTCCCGGGAACTTCTAGTGATTCTTGGTTTGAGTCGTTGATTTTCCAGGTGCGGAAGATCCGCGAGGCACAGCTGAGCAATGGCATTGTGGACATGGTGGCAGAGCAGACGCGCAGATGCACACTATGACTGTCCCTGAGGGTTAATGGCACAACTGTGACGGTCCCTGAGGGTTGGGGGGAGGTCCTTATTTAATTAAGGAGATTCGATGACTGCTATCTACTAGGAGGTTCCTTCCAATCCAATAGCTTCCCTGCGCAATCATAGAAGGTTTGGGCTCCAAGTTTCACGTCTTTCTGTTTGGTCCAACCACTGAAGTTTGCTGGTCTATGGTTCGGCTATGTTTTGTTCCTGCTTTCCCCCAGAAAGCAGCCACCAGAGCTGGTTGGGACGTCCTTTGCCCTCCCTGATAAAAGTGGACGGCATGGCCGAAGCAGGATGGCCACTTTCCAAAGACCAAACCGTTGGTTTCATCCACTTCCCATGAGGGTGGTCTTCCTAGTGAGTGCACAAAAGCGCATTGAACATCGGTCTCCATAGACTGGTGCTCAGAGGCTTTTTGCGATGAAAGCGAATAATACGCCATCCACCACACAATGGGACTGATGGGGACGGATGATTCTTGAGATTGCCTGATTGCTTCTACTTGAGCACCTGCCACTGCATGTTGGCTGAGGAGACCATTGATTGAATTACACATCCTGAAACATGAAAGCAACGCCTTAGCCTCTCCTTAATGGATATATACTCGAGCTCTACTTGATTATACTTAGACTTATATCGTGGAATCTTGTGGGCAGTCAGGAGTATTGGGGGAGCAAGCATTTGCTGCCACGGTCGCTAGTAACCACTAGTAGATGTTTTGGGTCTCACTAACGTCCAAACACATCTAGCACTTCAAGTGCCCCCTTGAGGCGCCCTTTCCACCTCACTGCTTAAAACCTGGAGTTGTGGCTTAATTTGTTCTCGGGTGACAAGGGCTGTCCCCTCTCGGTATGTTATATGCAGCATCTCTCTTTATATATGCTATGCTTTCTACATGCTCTGACTTTCTCCGCGAGGATTCGTATTTTGGAGGAGGCCCTGAGTCAGGGAAGTTGGTGAATCCGAGCAAGCCCGGTGACTGATGTGAACAAACATATGCCAAAGCATGCGACTGTTTTAAATGGACATCCCACTTGTAAGTCAGCATCGCCCTGACATATTTTTCTTGTAAATGGTGACTAGATTTGAAGCCTGTTGGAAGTGACATGCCTTAAGTTTTTATGTTTGCGGCTTTAAGTTCATGACGGCTTGTGAAGAAGATGTCGGCAGTCTTCTTCGAATTTCCCGGAAGGAGGCCCACCCCTTGCAATTCAAAGGGGATTTGTTCAGCTTCTTTGGGCCAAATTTTGCCATAGTCATCCAATAATCAAGAAGCCTGCGTGGTACAACTCGTAGGACATGAAGGAATGCCCAAGCCAACCAGGACGTGATAGGACGTGGCTTTTGGACTTGGGCGCTTAAGCGTCAAGTGACTGTAGGAAATGAAGGACTGGGCTGTGTCTAGACATTTCGGTCTACACCTTTCGATATTTTGATTCAGTTGCTCAGTCACACCTCAGACCATGCGAATGACCTCACTCATCTGACCTGCAGGTCCATTTGCCTTCTGAGCTATCGGGCTCGGCACGACAGGTTGGCGTCAAGAAGGCCTTGTGGAGGGACCTGGAAGTCTATCCCAGGTGAACTGGCCGGGGAGCTAACAGACAAGGTATATAGACAATGTTTGTGAGATTGTTTGGACATCAGGCCTGGGCTTTGGTGTGGGTGAATCGTTCGGACCCTCTTTTTTAATAAACCATGTTTCAACACATAGCCTGCTGTGAGTGTTGAGCGGTATCGTGGACCCTGGCAATCCCGAGGTACTTAGTGAACTGAGTCAACATGAGTCAACTACAGCCAAGTGGCTTTGAGTTGCCTAAGAGTCGAGCAATCTTTGATGTTGAGCTATACCGCATGATATTCGCAGCCACTTTTTACTAAATGGATGTCGGATGTCTCGCTCCAAGAATTCGAAAGTGTTGCCAGCAGTCTTGCTTCTTCCGTGACCGATCCACATCCATGGAATCCATCGCCGACCTGAGAAACGACTTGGAACCTGACCGTGGCACCGACCTTAACCCTTCGGGTCACCGCTACCGCCACCCCAGGAGCTCCCACCGACTGCGCACGCACCGGACAGCGGACTGCCCACGCTGCCACTGGCGCTGCCACAGCGGGCAGTGCACGTGGTGACCGACCTGCAGGGCGTGGAGTTGCTGGAGAACGTGCTGCGTGAGAGGCGACCTGGGATGACCTGGGCGTTGGCTGTTGTGCTGGGGGGAGCCAGGAGCCTGCAGCGCTCGTCTTGAACACAAAACACCAGTGATATTTAGGCGCGGGGGATCTTCATCCGTTCTCGCATCCAATTGCATTTCAAGCAGTTAATATATGTTAATATACTTTAGTAAGTATTTTAGTATATTGCGGTGTGTAGTGAGGGTTGTTAGATTCTATCTGAGCTCTACTCCTCCTTCTCCTTCTCCTTCTTCTTCTCCTTCTCTCCTCGCCAACTCTTGATTGCAGTGGGCACTGCCAGACCTCAACCACAACCGGACCTCAACCGCCAGCTCCCGATTGCAGTGGGCGTTGCCGGACCTCAACCGGCAGCGTCCAAGTCCAGTGGGCACCACCGGACCTCAACCACTAGATAAGAATGTCAGATAGAATGCCCCAGATAGAGTGGCAGATAGAATGGCAGAGAGAATATGTATATATATATATCAGATAGAATGCCAGACAGAATGTCAGATAGATTGTCCGAGAGCATGCCAGAAAGAATGTCAGATAGAATGCCCCAGATAGAGTGGCAGATAGAATGGCAGAGAGAATTTTAAAAAAATATATATATATCAGATAGAGTGCCAGGTAGAATGCCAGACAGAATGTCAGATAGAATGTCCGAGAGCATGCCAGAAAGAATGTCAGATAGAATGTGCCAGATAGAGTGGCAGATAGAATGGCAGAGAGAATATATCAGATAGAGTGCCACATAGAATGCCAGACAGAATGCTTGATGGAATAATATGCCGGATACAAAATAGTATGCAGATCTTGGAACGTGCTTATATTGCTTTACTCCTCTATTTGTTTATTTGCCTTCTGGACAACAAATGTACTGGTTTGCATCAAGAAGTGCATGCCATATTTGCTCAGAGGCTGGTGAGTGAACATACAACAGCTGCGCAGAAACATAAAATACTGTAGTTGCACATGTATGAAATGTCATGGTGGGGATCACTCGGAGTAAAGTAATTTTTGCATGCATGTGCACCGTATATTTAGTACTTTGGTCCAACATGTGGGTTTGACCGTTGCGTCGGGGTCGTTGCGGGGGGTCCTCCTTTTTTCACCGGTGTTTCAGTGCTCCTTCCGCTCGCTCTCAGGCTCTCAGGCTCAGGGGATGTGGACCCGCACGACGGTATGGCATCCAAAGAGTCCACGGTCTTCACGCCCTTGCTGCCAGTGATGGGATGCTTGGACTTCGTAGGTAGGGGAGGTGCAGGCTGTTAGGTTGATGTTTCCACCATCAATCGGGGACAAAGGTGAACACAAGCCTGTTAGGCCGTAACAGGCAGGGCGCCAGTGTTCAGAAAGACATGGAATGACGGTGGGTCGATGGAGTGTCTTTGGGTGAATTTGCCGGTCCATCGCGGGGCATTGCAGGCACCCATGTCGCACCCGACGGATCGGGAGGCCTTAATGCTCACCACTGCTCACCCGTTCAGGGCGCTCGCGCTCACGCCCTGCTCGCCCTACGGCCCTGTGGGTGACGAAGCTTCCAACATGCCGGTTTACTTGTGGTGGGCTCCCAAGAGTGCCCCAACAGTGGGAGAATATGTTACAGTTAGTGTTAGTGTGTCGTATATACAACTATAACTACTATTATATATATCTACTGTATACTATATATATATACACGGATAAGATTGCCCATTACCAGTAGCAGACAGTAAAGATTTTCACTATTTTAGAGAAAGGCTTTGGCCAATCTTTGTTCAACTTTCGAACATTTGCTTTTCTGTACTTTTTCGGTTTGCAGCTGTTTTTCTCTCCGCAGCTGTTTTGGGGGGGCGATCGCCCAGCCGCGTTTCATTGGTTGGGAAATTCAGGTTTGAAACAGTCTTGGATTTGTGAAGACCTTTTGGTCCATGTTGGGTGCAAGCCCACCCACCACCCCCCCCAACACCCTGCCAGAAACATCCAAGCACGCCGTGATGGCACTGGCTTGGACGCGTCCTGGTCCAGCAGCATTGGAAGACCAAGACCCCCTTCCTTTGCCCACCAAGGAGGAGGTTCCTGCGGTTCCTACCCGAAGATGGCGCGGCGCCTTTCCAGGTTGGCCAGAAGTGCCCCAAGGCACATCCCGTTCTCTGCAGCAGAACATGAAGCACCTCTAAATACCTGGAAGAGTGGGATTCCTTGACAACTCCACCAAAAGCTTGGCTGCTTGCCAACGTTGGCAACGTTGGTGGGTGGAGCGACAGCTCAATGGCAAGGGAAGGCGGGTAGCGTTCTTGTGAGGACAAGAAAGCTTTTGTGTTGGCAGGGTACTTGGAGCCGTCACCACCTCTTTTGATCTGAGGTGTTGACCTTTGCGCAGCAGCGCAGGCGCTTGCTGCCTGCCAAGGCCATTGTTCGCAGATCCGTTGGAAAGCAGCGGAAGACTGCTGGAGTTTGGAGTGGTTGCTGGCAGGCCCCCGCAGAGAAGATGGCCACTATCCAGCCCACACAGACATGGCAGCTCAATGTAGGATGGCCGTGTTCAACCCCTGATAACTGGATGGTGGATGGAAAGTGCATGGGGGCCGTGGGCTTTTTCTTTCCGTCAACCTAGCAAGAAAGCAACGCTACAGCTACGCTCCAGAAGCAGCCAGCACCCGTGGATTGAGGTCTGGAACTTCAACAGGACACCACTTTGCAGGAAGTGACAATGACCTGCAGCCTTGCTCACTGTGCTCGATGTCAGGCCATAGGGCACTGGGCACGGGGGCCAAAAAACAGGACTGTCAGAGAATCGTTCAATCATGGGCAGCGTGTTTTTTGGCACGCGCAATAAATTGATTGTCTTGCGCTGGCTTCTGCAGCGATTTTGCTGCTCTGGTTCTCTGATTTGGCAGTATGGCCTGATGGCAAGCCACGCAGCTTGTCCATCCCAGACTTGGCATCGAATGCTATAGGAAGGTGTGAGACGGGGGTGGCATCTCCTTTCAAGCTGCCTGCCAGCTACTCACAGCCATGTCCAAGTGCGAAGAAGTTGCGGAGTTGCGGAACTTGGCACGCATGCAAGTGACCCTTTGGGTCCAAGTCGGCCACTGTGCCTTCAGTCTTGGCTGCTGGGGAAATCAGAATTGAGGATGGGCTCTACCCCCTGCGATGTCTTTGAAACTGGTCTAGTTGGCGCCTTCAAAAGTCCAGATGGTTTGGTCCCTGGAAATTACGTCGGTGGGCTGCTTTAGGGAACACCAGGCTTTGGAGCAACATACAAACACTCACCACCTTTGAATGCAGCCTTACAACCCTATCCTGTACAGATCCCGGCTCCACAAAGCATTAAACATTGAGAAGCTCTGGCAGATGGTTGCAGTCTAGAAAACATCTCTTGCTCAATGCAGGCAAATGACCCTTCAAGTATCAATTGTCTTGTCATGGGTGATGGAAGGGTCATTTGTGTGCTTTGAAGGGTGCACTGTGTGCGCTGCTGAGTTGTGGACTAGCAGGATTAGAGTAAACACAACCTTGTGTAGCAGAGCTTGTTGACCAATCCCAAGAATAGACCTTTGTAGCAGCGTCGAAGGTTGTGATATTTCGTTTCATCACCAGCGCCTCAACACTTTTGAGCGCAGCCGTATAGCTTATATAGCTCTATGCTGCATGGATTCTGGTCCCCAAAGAAGGGTGATTTGGTAGCGCCAAGGGGTGCTGGAAGCTCATGCAGGTGTTAGAGGCCTTGGGAGACAATCTATTGTTAAGCAACCCTTGCTTCAGGTGTCAAGTGCCTTGTCACGGGTCATTTGAATGCTTTGAATGAAGGGTGTAATGATTTGTGGACCAGCAGGAGCTACTGTAGACAGCCCCCTGCAATGAAGCCTGCACTAAGTTGACCAATCCAAACAAAAACCTTTGCAACGCCACCAGGTGTTGTGACATTGCTATGTGTTTCATGGGCGCTGCAACCCTCAACACCTTTGAATGTAGCCTCAAAACCTACGCTGCATGTAGCCTTAAAACCTACGCTGCATGGCGAACGTATCTATATTGCTCACCAACGCCTAGATGCAACCAAATTATCCTGCAGGTGTAAATGGCTTTGTCACGGGTGATGGAAGGGTCATTTGCGGCTTGTGGACCAGCAGGATCTACACTAGACAAAGCCCCTGTGGCAACGCAAGCTGCGTGTGCGGCGTAGCAGTAGGGTCCAGCAATGGCAGGGCGGATGGATGCAAAAAATTGAGCGACAAACATCTACTGCGCCTTGGGACTGCGCAGCCTTTAGCAATGCCACCAGACACCTGATTGCCGCCTTACAACCCGACTGTGGCGGCTCAACCAGCATTGAAGGTGCTCTGGCAACACATTTTGCAAGAAGAGTCTGGCTGGCGCAGGGTGAGACTAGACTTTTGATTGTTGTTGCAAAGCATTTTCGCCCAGGGACATGTAGCAAATATTCGTCTGGTGGTAAGGGGCAAATCCTTGGCCTTCCACCATTGTGGCCAAAGTATGGATGGATGTTCGCGCAACAAGACGACGACTCATTGCCAAGTGTGCTGTTCCTGCGATCTGCTGATTGATGCACAACATGCCGTTGCTCTTACTGCGCCAGTGGTTTGAGGTCCAAGGTTTGTGGCTGGGATGTGCGCCCGCCTTGTGCCATGCTTGCTTGGCATGATGCTAGCAAGCGCCCCTTCAACAGACTAATGGCGATAAGGTTGCAACACACCAGCTCACAAGCTTTCACTTGGCATAGCCTTTCAAAACCTACACTTGTTTTGGTTGCCTTCGGCTGGAAAGCCACAAGCTGCACCAATCTGCCAAACACTTCAGGAGTGGCTTGCAGAAGAAGGTGCGTTGGCCAGACCTTCAGTTACAGAAGAAATAGATCTTTCAATTCATCATGGCTGTCCATTTGGCATGCCCCCTCTGCCTGTTCTCTCGCCAGGTGGGAGGTGCCAGATGGAAGCGACAAGCAAAGTGTTCAGCAAAGGAAGCGACCAGGGGAAACAGCAGAATATATTTGAATATATAAGACTCCTTTCCTGGTTTCTTTTTCTGAGCCTCGAATTTACGAACCAACTAATCAACGTCACCCACTGTTACATACTGTTAGCTGGTAATGGGCCATACCTCAGGGTGACCCAGGGTCCCATGGGTCCGGTTCTTTCGTATGGCCGCGCGCGATTGGCATTGAGGAGTGGATGCGGAGTGGCAGCCGCGCACCTCCCACGGCCTTGCGCTCTTCCAGATGGCCTTCCGACGATCGGTGCCCCTTGGCGTTGGATGGAAGCATATGGGAACCCGACGAAAAGTTGTGGATGCAGGGACCATTTGAATGCGGATGCATCAACTTCCGTCATCAGCTGGTGCTTCTCATCTACCACGGACATCATGTGGAAGGAGTCTAGAGGCAGCGATCAGATCAAATCAATTGCCCACCTCTTTGCGGGTTTTCCCTCGCACCTCCGAACGCCGCATGCCGAGGTTCTTGCTGGACATGGTGGCGTTGACCCGCCAGGATCCACTCCGAGGACGCGTGGCAGAACTGATCAAGGAGGCTCTTGAGGCAGAGCACTTGTACAAGGCAGGTTTTTGCACGGTTCCATGAAGTTATGGATGGTTTGGGGCCACACATGGCAAAAGTACAGCACGTGGTGTTGAGTTTTTAGATGGCAGGGAACCTGCTTCAACCATTTCACAATTTTCGTAACGGTTTCGGATTGTGTGCCCTTTGTGAAGCTTGTGCGAAAGCCCATGATCGCGAATCGCAAGGTTGATGACTTACTTTGCTTTCATCCTGTGCTATCATGACGCGTAACGTTTGTCAGCGTGCCCCCACAAGAAATACAAGACCTGGTTTCCATCTCGTGTTTTGCCTGAGGTGGGCTTCAACTTGGAGGTGGACCTGCAACGGCTCCACGCCGTACTGCCAGAGACCTCGTGCGCTGTGAACCTCATTGACTTGAGGTTTTCGACGGGCCCGGTGCAATTTTGGGGCAGTCAGGGGGCGCAGGTGAGGGAAAGGAGGCCTCGTGCCGTGTCAAAGGTGGTTGCAGAGCAAAGCTGGCGCAGAAGGTAAAAGTTCCACAAGGTCGCCAAACACCTGGTGCCTGGTCTCCAACTTTGATTCCCAACCACATGATGGCCGGTGACTCTGATCACAATTCAGGTCGGATGTTGATGTCTTGAAGCTTTCGCACAAGTACTCCAGAAAAGACCAGTTGTTTGGTTGCCCTTTCAATTGGAACAAACCCATCGTGTCGGTGCTTCCCATGCTGCAAGGCAAGTACGTGAAGGGAACGCCAGCCGAAATAGTTTTGATAGGTGGTAGTAGTGGATGAAAAAGAAGAGTGTGAACGCAGGGACTTGCACGCGGTGGCCCTGCCGAACGCGCCTTCCAAGCCGCTGAGCTTGACGGGCATGGTCAAGGAGGTCTTTGGGCTGCCTTTGGACAAGACCTGCCAGGTGTGCTGCCGGGTGAGTTTGCTCCATCCACTCCGTATGTTTTTTTTGGGGGGTTCCCGGTTCCCGTGAAGGCATTGACACGACAGGGATTGAGTGTGAAGCCAAGGGGATCTTGGGGCTAAGACACACTTCGACAGGTCTCTGACTGGCAAAAGCGTCCATTGACTCCAGAGCAGCTGGACTATGCCGCGCAGGATGCGCATGTGTGCGTGCGCCTCTTTGATTCGCCGCCCGGTGTGCACGCAGTAGCAGTCGTCGTGGCAATGTCTCGCAGGAACGTAGCCAGGGACGCCCTCATCACACCTCATATTCAGTGATTTTGGAACTTTGAAACTTTACCGCCTCAGCCGCATTTATATATATATACCTATCAGAAAGAATCAGAAAGGGACAATACTGCTGGTGTTGGATGGGGCATCCTTCCAAACTGGGTGCATTGTTCTGCTCCCCGGAACTTGTCGACACATCGACCGTCGACCATTGAGGCTTTGCTATAACCATGCGACGGTCGCCACGCAAGTCCTGCAGCCGGTGCTGAGAGGCATGGTGAGGACATGGCCGCGAGAAAAAGAGCCGGCCATCGTGCGGACGGCGGACAGAAGGGCCACCGAGTGGGACTCGGTGCAGCAGGGGTGGTGAGCTTTGGTGCAGGTGGTGTTTTCGTTGCATCACCCATGGTGGTCCATCCCTTGCAAAGGTTACAAGTTACAATCATGTTATAGACTAGTCTAAGATCTTGTAAGTAGTATAAATAAATATATATATATATGCATATATGTAGCCCTATGGATCCACATACCTTCTCAGAAGGTAATTGGACCCTCCAAGCCTACATAAATAGTCTCCAATCACCTCAAAAGGTATGTGGATCCATAGGGTAGGTATATACATATTAGATAATGTTTTTGTGTTTGTTTGCCGCAGGAGAGCCGTGCAGGAGGTGCGTTTGACCTCATGCTGGCGATATTTAGACAGGTAGACATGTGTTCAATTTGACGGATGCCGCGGTTAGAAGCAAGTCTGTGAGGAGGAGAACCTCACGGCAGCCGGGAACCTTTGGCTCCAGCCGGAGCCCATCCGAAATAGAAAATGATGTCTAGAGATCCACTTCTGCATTGAGAATCTTTATACTACAGTATACCGTTACCTACCTAAAGGTTTCTTTGTTTCTTTGCTGATCGGATTTTCTAAATAGGTGACAAGCGAATTGGATGAAACCAACATGACAGATGCAAAATTTTGGTAGGTAACCAAGGAGATACACCAGAAGACAACCAACACCAAAAAGTGTTCCCTTCACATCGACTACTTGGTCAACAATAGCACCGTTGCACCAGCACTGATCGGTTCGGGCGGCATTTTGTGAGAGAAATTGTTATATATATATATATAGAAATTGCCACCTGCCTGGAGTGGTAAGATCACTTTTTCTTGGGCTTTGTTCGCTCGCATCCAACTGTTTGCACGTTTTCTGTACAGGGGGTTTTCTCTACTATGCATATTGTGCCCATTGTGACACATATGCCATTGTCGCGTCTCACCCGGGCCGCACAATGAGAGAGACGTATATCAACGTAGTATGAACATGTAAGTGAGTTTGTAACGACACCCAAACCAATGGACCAATGCACTTGAGTCCGTTCATTCACAAACATCTGAATCTATGGTTCTTTTTTTTGGGGCCTTCTTTTTTAAGACACACCCATCCTGCTTTTCGTGGCTCTTCCGTTTCTCAAGTTCTGGGTGCCCATCCACCGAGCTCCGGAGCTCGCCTCGCCGAGGGCCCAGCTCCAACTCGTGCCCAAGGAGGGGAAAGGTGCAGGTCGACCGACTGCGCAGCGACGTGACTTTGCTTTCCAAGAAGCGGGGTGATTTTGTCGATATTTCTTCTGACCGATTAATCCGATGATGCCCCTATCCTTACCAACCTCGCTTGTCATACATATACATATATATATATATGGAGCTGGCACTAGGGGCTAGGCATATGCTAATGCATGTATGTAGTTGGCGCATTTGGCACATCATGATAACTTGAATTTGGGTCCTTAGCTCAGCGTGTCAAGGCTGTCGCAATGGGGCATGCTTGAAGTGTCATGACAGCACGTGACTTTCCTTGGGGTTGTTTTTGAGGGTCGCAGAGTCCCTTTCCCTCCTCCTTAATATCAGTCCTCCCTTCAGTCCGTTGATCCTGAAGTTTGACAGAGGCCCTTGCTGACCCTCATCCACTTCTACTTGCAGTTGGGGCAGATCCCCAGATAGCCAACATGCATTCCCGCATTCTCCCGTGCACAGATTCAGGTGTTAATACTATTTCAGTGTCCGGGTGGCTCCGCTGTTGCCAGGGCGAAATGGCAAGGGCAAGAGTAAGGCATGTGAAGGAAGAGACTGGAGAACATTTGGTCGTTGAGAAGGGTGAGCCTATATTGTGGGGTTGTGATGGTTTCGCCTCAGTGGTTTAGGATGGTCACTTTGTTTGGTTTAGCTCACCAATGAACTTCTTCGTTATTCAAAATCCATAAGCACCTGAAACCCTAGCTCAAAGATATAGCTCAAAGCGGGGATTTTGCGTTGTTTGCTGTCCATCGCCTTGCAGGTGACCCAACGTCCCCAGCAACAATGGCCGTTTAGCATAACTACCCTGGACTCTTGCCACCCTGCTTCTATTTACTTATATAATGGCCGCAGTCGGAGCATTTCAACCTACGGCGGACAACGCTCCAAGTGCAGCTCTGATTTCTGTTTGACAATGGCATTTGATCAGAGAGTGCCAGAAAGAGGGCATTGCCCACGCTTCCTTTTGAGAAAAGATCATAGTGGAACACTGCCACGCAACGTGATGCGGGCTGCATCATATTCGTTGTTGTAGTTTTGCAGGCGTAACACGACCACCACGCAGCAGGGGACTCCACACATGAGGGGCTTGCAGAAGTCCTGTGCACATCCGTGTGCACAACACATGCAGTATGGCACGCAAGTACGTACTCTTGGGCAAATGACCACCCTACCTCAGGCAGAAGATTTCTGACCCGCTCACAACTGAAGAAACACAGACCCTCCAAGTAGAGACTGCGTTGAATTGGTGTCAGGTACCTTCCGCATACAGATGGGCGGGTGCACCATATGTGTTAATCAGGGGCCTCCAAAGTTGACTTCGCCAGGGACGCCAGTGGCGACCAAGCGCAGAGGCCTTTTTAGCCCAGGGGTTGATGCAGGAGAGGAGCATTCAAAAACTCACCTTAAAAGCTGAGCTCATGCATGTTCATGCCCTCCCCCAAACGAGTAGACATACTCTCACTTCAACAAATGCTTTGGGGAGAGCATCCGGACCTCCTTTAGTGCTTACTTGCCTAGACTTCAGGTGTTGAACAGTTTGTTGAGCTGCGGCCATGCACTACAACCATCAGATTCCTATCATGAGTCATGAGATGAATTCTGAATGGCCCTTGCCCAGGCAGATATGTCTCCTTTTTCACAGGCTTGCTATTCAACGCAGAGAGTGCGTTTTGAACCACGGGTGCCCCGAAGCAACCAACCATTCCTACAAGATGGCCCCAGTCTGGCGTTGCTGATGCCGATGGACAAGAGGGGCTCCTTCTCATTCGCCTGGCTGGTCGGCTCTCCGGACTCGGCGAGGTGGCTCAGCGTCACGTGGGCCACTGGCGATTCCTGGCCAAAGCGGAGGGCGACTTCAGGTGCGACTCCGGGCGACTTCGGCGTGCCATCGCATGCCAGGCGTGCATCGCTATTAGTAACTAAGTGCATTGCTAGTAGCAGCAAGAATGCAAGAAGCTATACTAGTAACATCTAGTAACAAGGGCATCGCCATTACTGCACCTTTGCAGTTTCCATGTGACACTGGAGGTTGGCACCGATGTGAGGATGGCACCGAACCCCTCCGTCCGAGCTTTGCGACGGCAACCATCGGAGTTTTCAGTCGACCACTGACGTTGAAATACGTTGAAGTGCCTGGGCGCGGCGAGGCCCATGTCCATACTTCAGGCAGACAACTAGTTGATGCTTGTTATATAATGTTATATATCCACACATATATATATATATGTGTTATATATATATTTATATACATATCTGTATATGAGACAATCAATAATAACATCCTTGTTTCATCAATAATAATGCAAGGCTTCGCGGTGTGAAAAAGGCTTCGGCCCACACGGCCCCAGGTCCCAGGCTTTGGCCTCCGAGCTTCGTCGATGGGGGGACCCGGATCCACGCATTTGGATTTCTGGCGACCACACGTGCCACAGAGTGTCCTTGCTGTCGCAGGATTGTGCTCTCAGACCGTGGTGCGGGGGCTTGGTGCAGTATCGGTGGAATCTGACAATCTGGAATCTGGAAGGCCAAAGCGATCTTGCTTGAACCTTCCTGGTCAGAACCTTTTAACATTTGTTGGGAGACTGGTTTGCCCACTCACGAACAGATGGGCAAAGGTCCAGCTTCATTTTCCAAGGAAACGAAGGGAGTCAGTGAAAGAAGCACTCCAAAAATCCTGTCCATCACCGCCTCCGCGAAGACTCGAGATCACGGGACTGTAAAAACCGCCGAAGAAACGAGACTCGATCGTCGCATATCGCCGTTGAGAATCTGGGGCGCTCGTATCTAGCATCCGGTCGCAGCGGGGAGAAAGAAGCTTCCACCGGCCACGAGGGGCGAAACATGGCAAGGCGTTTGGATGCCAATCGCTTCTTCGCACTTGACGCGCGCCCGGCGGAAGGCACCCTTCTATTCCAGCTGGGCCCGGCGGAAGGCACTCTCCTACCACAGGAGCGACCGGTGGAGACGACATGTCAAATGATCAAAATGGTCACCTGCAGCAAAACATGTTCGAGGGCTTTCTGACCAAGAACTGTTCAAGGCAAGTCATGTCCAGGTGCTTTGGATCAATTTTTCGTGCTATATACATGATAATGCAATGGACGTGTTGAGTGACGTGCTGATGTTCGGTCCAATGAAACAATGCAGGAAGCGGGTGAAAGGGCGCCCCTGTACGCAGACGACCTGCCGGTCTTCCGGCTGAAATCTGTTCCACTTCCATGTTCTTTTTTGGTGGGGGGTGTCCATACCTGACCAAATGCTATCGTTGTGGACTACTTGGACTTTGAACGAGTCGATGCAGTGTGATTAGTCAATGCTGGCAGTAGTTACGTTATATTATCGATCCAAGGCGTGTTCCTGGAGGTTCAGCAAGTCTGGTTATGAGCAAGGTGATGGCTGCTTCAAGTGGCTCGCATTACCTTTATCAAGAAAATGCGACATCAAACGCCCATCAAGTCACATCCCTCCAAAGGTCCAAAGAGCAGTTGTAGCAGTACCAGACGACTCTGCAGGAAAAGCGCTGGCTCCAATGTGAACTACGGGGTCCCGATGGTGAGGCGACTGGAGTTTCCCGCAAGTGGGCCAGCAATATACTGTGGTGTTATGTGACCAAGTGCTCTAGGGCTGGACTTCGATATGGTTTCATGATGTTTCATGACACCTGAAAACAGTGGACTCTTGTGAAGATTCGCACAGGTGACGAGGTGGGAAGTTAAGTTCAGCCTCGGCTCAAACACTTTTTCTGAGGGAGGATCACTTTAGAGCAATCACGTCCAGGCTGAACATGGAAAGTTTCCAGCACCTTGAGGAAGGTCCTCATGCAATAGAAGCGACCGGAAGATCCACACACGCACACAGTGTTACCAGTCCGACCAGTCCACTCTGCAGGCAGCTAGGGAAGAATTACGCGCCAGGGCACATCGCGACACGGCAGGCGGCGGGTGCTGCCCGTGTGCGCTTCAGTGAGAAGTCTGAGAGCATGATGCCCGCTGCGGCTGCACTCGCGTCGTGGTTTTGGGGCACGCGCGGCACTTGCGGAGAGTCATGGTTCGGAGGACCGAGGAGAAGATGGAAACACAGGCCAAACCCTGTGGTTGAGGTGTTTCCAGTTGTAAAATAGCCAGACTGTTCGCGCATAATAGAATGGGTAAGTTTAAGTCTATCAAATGATAGAATGTCCGAGACGTGACGTTTTAGGATTAATCGAGATTTCGATTGTGAACTTCATGTGCAGCTCTTGAAGACATGAGTCGAGTCAAGAATGGTTACCTCCTTCGAGACGCATGTTTCAAGATCCTCCCTTCTTCTATACAGATCCAACTGCTTATCTCAGAGGGTAGCTTGCACACCCCAAACCAACGTCCTCCACATCCCCCCCCATCGAAGCCCCTCAGAGGCGAGACGTCCATCCACCTCGACGTCGGATCTTGACCGATCCTCGGTTTCGCTCCAGGTACGCCTTCAGCAGCGAGGATGTCTTTGGCGACGCCACGGCCGCCTATCGGGTCCTGACACCACGGGAGGCGACGCGTTGAAACGCGAACGACGCGCGGAACCGTGGAAACCGCGGCTCTTTCGGCACGAGGACGGGCGATCCACATGGGTGTTTTTTTGCGCAGGGAGGTGGTGAATGGCCCTTCTGGGCCCTTCTCTCTGAATTCATTGGTGAATTCCCAAGACTAAGATGTGTAGGATCGAGGATCTGTTATTATCAATTTGCTTAATGTTTAATTGTCGTGTGCACATGTATCTGGAGCTGGACCATTGCTTGTTTGAGTGAAGTGGTTGGAACGAGCCACATTCCTGGGTCAATACCATTATACTTGGTGATTGGACTTCAGCAACTTGGTCTTTCCAGGGACCATTTTCATTTTCCACGTCCATGATTGCCGATGTACAGGAGGATAAGACCCATGTTTGGCAAAGCTCGCGCTTGTCTGAAAACCCTTCATGACCTGACCCCAGGAACTGCCGACTCAACGGCAGATTGAGTGTTTGCGCTGGGTTGTTACGGAGAGAGGCCCTTCAGTAGAGCATATCATCCAGTGGATCACTTGATCATTGACAACGGTGTGTTTCTCCCTGTCCATGTCTACCCCTTACTCGTAGACGGCGGCAATTCCACTCATGCATGTGGTATTGTGACAACCTGCGATGGGCTGACCTACGAAGAACAGCATCTTCATCACGTATTTGTCGTTGAAGGGACCATTGCGCGAAGTGCAGTAAGGTTTCGGTTCGGTTGGAATCGGTTTGAATGTTTAATGGAAACTTCGAATCGGTTCGGTTGGGTTGAAGAAGCTTGTTTTTGTGCATTTTCGGTCCGGTTCGCGGTTCGCTTCGGTTCTGTAAGGCATAAGTTAACCTATGAGACAAGACAAGACATAGATAGAACAAACAAGACCAGAGAAGACAAAACAAGACATGATATGACAGGACATATCATAGCAAACCAAAGCAAAAGAGAATACCTTCAATCAAATGCCCTAGGGTGAGTGAGCCATATTGAAAAATGGCGTTCCGTTCCACTCCTTTTCGTGGCTTTGCTGTCCAATATGCTTTTTAGACCGCCGGGAAAAAGCATATTCAGAAACAGCTGTCTTTTCCTCAGCTTCCCACGGCTCAGAGGTGGTCTTGACTTTCTTGTTGTCGACGCGATGTCCCTCATGGTGCCTTCGTACCGGTTGCCAGAGCAGCTGCGCTTGGCTCGTGTGCAGCTTTGCGTGGGGCTGTTCCTGTTCAGCCCTGCAGCAGTGCAACCGCACGAGGCAGCAGAGCGGGGCCGCGGCAGACCTCGTAAGGGCACAGCTGTGGTTGTGCAGGGCACAGGCAAAAGTGGCCAGTGTCGTCAGGCGGGGGTCGAATGTGCTTTTTTTGTCTGATGCAACTGCATGTATGGCTGCCTAAAGGCGATTATGATGGGATGCCTTTTGTTCTGAGCGCTTGGTTCCGTAAATGCTTTTTTGCCAATCTGAAAAGATGCATTTTGGAGTTGCCTGGCGCACGGCGTAGGCGGACCAGCAGATTAAAGTACCCAGAACTTCGGGAAAGATTGAAGAAAGCAGCAGAGGATCCTATGATCCACAAGCTTGAGACCTTGTTGCGCCCGGAGCCAAAGAAGACAAGAGGAAGAGGTCGTGGAAGGGGAGCAGGGCGGCAAGAGAAACCTAAATCTACCAGTGAAGCTATTTTGCGAGACGCTGCCTGCGCAGCCGCATCAGGTCCTGCAGTGAGGCTGCAGCCTGGGCCTCGCGCACTCAAAGAGCGCACTAGTGCTGAAGACCGGCTGTTTGGGCCACACCCTGACCGGGGTCGTGCCCTTGAGGTGGCTGTGCTCGATGACCTGAAGGCAGTCCCTGCAGCAGCGCTTTCAGCATTTTTCTTCCCGCGTCGTCCTTCATCGAATTTCGGGGCCAAATGCGTTTTCCACTGTCCCCAAAAAGCATTTTCAAACGAGAGCCGCTGATGACACCACCTTCCCAAAATGCTTTTTGAAACGAAAAGAAAGAGCATATTTATAGTTGACTCACTGACAGCAAGGTTCGCAAGCAAGTGGAAGCTGAGATGACACACTATGAGCGCCTGAATTTCACAGGAGAAGGCCCTTTGTCCTGGTGGCGCGGGCATCAGGGACAGATGCCAGAGCTCGCCCAGTTTGCGCAAGCAGCTCTTGGGGTGCCTGGCTCCAGCGCAGCTTTGGAACGGCTTTTCTCCAAAGCCGGCTTGTTCATCACCAGGCGCCGTCCGCGCCTGAAGCCAGGCCGCGCCAGTGACATGTTGTTTGGGCACGCCAATGTGCAAATGCTTCTGTGACCCCGGACAGTCCTCGAAAAAACGTTGCTGATCTCGGAGCAGGGTGGAATTCCGGTTCGTATTTTGTTCCGGTTCGGCTGTGTTTGGAAAATTGACGGTTTTCATGATTCGGTTGATGAAAATTTTCGGTTCTTGACATTCGCGAGGTTTCGGTTCCGAACGGACAGTTCCGAATCGATTCGGGACCCTTCCTGGAAGTGAGCTGGGATACACTGGAATAGACGCCCCAGCTTCGTGGCTACTGATCGACCAGTATCTGTATTCAGAGCAAGACTCCGCGAGTTTTGCTCAAGCATCCACAGAAGAGCCCACCGCAGCCACTGAAAAATGGCGCTCACGGTGGTGGTGACCAATGCAGCCACCGGCGACCTAGTGTGCACGACCCAAGCTGCCAGGGATTGGACAGTGGCCGAGCTGGGCGATGCAATCGCAGGAGAGAGAAAGAGAGAGCGAGAGAGAGAGAGAGAGAGAGCGAGCGAGGGAGGGAAAGAGGGAGGGTGAGTGAGAGAGAGAGAGAGAGGGAGAGAGAGAGAGGGAGAGTGTGTTTGAGAGAGATAGAGACGGTACAGGGACAGCTCACATGTTCGTGCATGTACTTACTGGGGGTTCTTATGCGCACCAGCTTGCCGAGCCCTGGCAGGCAGATCCGAGACCCATGCACCAAGCCTGATCCTTCGGTTCGGCAGGCACCGTGGGCGTTCCAAGCTCTCTCCAAACCTGGCTTCATGGCCAGCAGCGCCTGGAACCCCATGCGCCGATCCCCTTGGCTTCAGACGGCGAGGGCGACCCGGAGCGAGTGGAACTGCAGCTGTTGAAGCGACGCTGGGCCATCACGGTGACCACTGAAGTGCAGAGCCTGGATTGAAAGAAGAGGGTCCAAACGGTCAAATAAAGGGAAGGATGGGAGGAAGATCCATGAAGCAAGATGTTTTACACATTCCGATATGTTTGCATACTCATTGCTAAATCTTGCACCTTCTGCAGCAATTACTCACACATACCTGCACTGGTACCTGCACCTTGCACTCATTAGGGGCGGAAGATGGAGTCGGCTGGAGGTGCTTCGTTGCTGGCCGACCGACCCAAGGAGTTTGGAGATTTCCACCCATCCGCTCTGTCGCCTTCTGGACTTCACCGTGCAGGTGGCTGAGGCGCTGCAGTTGCCCGACGCGGTCAGGCCAGTGTTGAGCTTTCAAGGACAAAGACTTCCATGTGGCTTGGCATGGATGAAATTTGAGGAGTGACAGATGATCACCCCGAGAAATCTAGCATCTCTTCGGCATTTTTCGTTGTGCTTCGGAGCCCAAACTCGTTGTGCTTCAGGTGACGATACATCACTGAGGGACATGGATTTGGAAGCCGGATCGTGCGTACGAGTCACGAGCACTGAGAAGTTACCGCTGGTTGCCCTAGGGACTGGCCCGGAAACCTCGCAGCGCTCAGACTTCTTGGAGTCCAGTGCCTCCTTGGGGTCTCTACTTGGGCAGTTGGGAAAGCGTTCAGTTTGTCATTCTCTATTTGGGAACCCCCCCACGGAGTCTTTTCAGTTTGTCAAGCTTGGAGCCCCTAGCAAAATCTGCCAAACCAAACAGGTGTTCAGGACCACCTTGTTGAATTGTTTCTTAGTCTCTTTATGTCTTTTTGGCCTTCTTGGAGATGATTCAGGTTGCTGGATGAGTGCCAGGACGGGCAGCTGCTTTTGTATCCCGGGGACTTCTCAATGATAGGCAGTGCTCAGACAATTTTCCCAGGAAAAGCCAGGAAAAGCTCTTCTGTGATGGTGCTGCCAGAAGTTTTGAACAGCCAAGACACTGGATTTTCCAAGCATGAATGACTTTATTTTCCGTAAGCCAGTAGCATTGAAACATGAAAATGTACGTCATGAATGATTATGTCAGTTACATATAGTCTATGTTCATATTCATATACTGATACTGATATACTCAAAGTCGGGGGGACACGACGTGCCCTTTCGTTCATTCCTTTGACGGACTGCTTTTACAGTCTGGGGGAGTCTCAACGACCACGCATGACACTTCAAAACACATTGCGGTTGAAGTTATGTGACGGTTTGAAGATGTTCAACATTTCTTTCTTTGAGTAGAGCTGCGCAAGAAATACACCACAGACCCCGATGGCAAAGGATCTGATCGAATCCCGTTGCTTTTTTATGTTTTGAGTGTTGAACGAGGGGTTTCTATAGTTTCTCCTTTGATTCCCTCCACAAAGCATTGGCCCCCAACAGCTGCTCCCACAAGCTGCCGAACTAAGGAATGTCGGGACATCATGGCAAGGTGTCGCTCCCTGGCCTTCGTTCCGGCCGATGTGCTTTGCTTCAAGGGAACCCGGCGGTACCGACGGCAGGTGGTGCGTGATCCAAACTTGTCCAAGTTGCTTTGGGAACGTGCAGGAGTCCACTTGCGCTTTCGATCGCTTCTATTTTGTCCTTTCCAGTCCTTCTGTTCATTTGTTGCTTTAGCTGTCCTGGTTTCATGATGTGTCCCTTGGTTTGCACCACAACCTTTTTCGTTTGGAGGGCGAAGGTCGGATTCGGTTTAGGTTTAGCTACACCAACCGCAGGACCCTTTATCTCATCAGCTTTGTCCAATTGCAGGCGGGCCTGAGAAGAAATAAACAAACAAAACAAAAACATGTGCTGTTCATCGAGGAAGCTGCGGCTGCACTTGTAAGGAATTTGTGCTAATCGAAT